CTCACAAACCAGAAACAGACACCATGGTGCACCTGACTGATGCTGAGAAGGCTGCGGTTTCCGGCCTGTGGGGAAAGGTGAACGCAGATGAAGTTGGCGGTGAAGCCCTGGGCAGGTTGGTATCCAGGTTACAAGGCAGCTCACAAGCAGAAGTAGGGTGCATGGAGACAGAGGTCTGCTTTCTAGCAGGCATTAACTTTCAGTGTCCCTTGTCTATGTTTTCCTTCTTAGGCTGCTGGTTGTCTACCCTTGGACTCAGAGGTACTTTCCTAACTTTGGGGACCTATCCACTGCCTCTGCTATCATGGGTAATCCCAAGGTGAAGGCTCATGGCAAGAAGGTGATTCACGCCTTCGATGATGGCCTGAAACATCTGGACAACCTCAAGGGCACCTTTGCCAGCCTCAGTGAGCTCCATTGTGACAAGCTGCATGTGGATCCTGAGAACTTCAGGGTGAGTCTGATGGGTGCCCCCTGGGTTTCCTTCCCCTGGCTTTCCTGCTCACTTGCCTATCAGAAGGAAGGAGGAAGGGATTCTAGGGAGCAGTATTGATGATGGTGTGTGGGTGTTCCCTGTGGAGTGTTGACAAGAGTCCAGTTATTTTACCTCCTACTCACAATTGCTGCTCCCACTCACTCTGTTCTTCTGTGTTGTCATCTCCTCGTTCTTCAGTAAGCTTTTAATTTTCAGTTGCAGTTTTCTTTTTAATTAGTTAAGTTACTTATTTACTTTCCAACCTAATTTCAGCTTCTCCTCCCCCTCTCCTCCCAGTCCCTCCCTCTCTCCTCTTTCCATTCCCCTAGCCCTTTCTTTTCTCTCCAGTCCATTTATTCCTCTTTTATCTACTTTTTGTTTCTTTTAAATATTTCCTAGTAACTTGCTCTGGAGACAAGAAAGATATGCATGTCCCTGTTTCTTCCCATAGCTCTAGAGAATAGTAGCAGTAATTGGCTTTCATGTCAGGGTGAAAGGGAAGAATATATTTTACATATAAATTCTGTCTGACATAGAAGAATACTTATTATAATTTGTTGGAAACATAAATGCCATTTGAAATGAGACTGCAGTGTCTGGTATTGTTGCTCTACAGTTATGTTGATAGTTCTTCCATCTCCCCACAGCTCCTGGGCAATACGATTGTGATTGTGCTGAGCAAACACCTGGGCAAGGATTTCACCCCTGCTGGACAGGCTGCCTTCCAGAAGGTGGTGGCTGGAGTGGCCACTGCCCTGGGTCACAAGTACCACTAAGTCCCCTTTTCTGCTCTTGTCTGTGTCCAATGGTCAATTGTTCCCAACAGAGCATCTGCCAGTTGTTGGCAAAATCATCAAGACCTTTGAAAACTTGTCTTCTGAATAATAAAAAGCATTTGCTTTCACTGCAATGGTGTGTCAAGTTACTTGAGTGTCTCATAGGAGGGTTCATGCTAAGGTTTCAAGACATAAAGGAATGAGGTTCCAGTTCTGACCTTGGGGAAATGTGACTTGTGTTTCATGATATGTGCTGGGACAGCAAGCAGTAAGCCAGCTCTTAATAACCCAGTCCTAACCACTCATAAAAATTCAAGAAATGGTTTCATTTACACACTAGATTTTGATGAAATTTTATGTTAATTACTTGTTTTCTCTAGTCTTCCTTTATTAATGTCACTTGTATTTTCTTTACCTACCCAGCACCTCACAGATCTCTAGCTAATAATTCTTCTTGCCTAAAATTACCACTATTCTCTAAAGTTTT